AATAATTTTTTTACTTAAGTTATTTAGCTTAATATTTTTTTTAAATATAAAAAAGTTTTATTTTAAACGGAGTATATTATTTTTTATTATTGTTTTAAATTATTTATATATTTATTATTTTAAAATAATAAAGACTATTTTTATAATTAAATATTAAAAAATATAGGCGTTTATTATATAGTAAGCCTTATTTAGTTCTTTAATACGTTAATAATAACGTTCTTTTAATATTTAAGGTCCGTATATTAAGTATATAATATTTATTTTTTTATTAATTTCGTATTTTAATTAAAAAAGGTTTTTTTTTATTTTAGCTTTTAATTATTTTTAAAGTCGTTATTAAAATAAGGCGAGTATTATTTTTATATTTAGTCGTTTTTTTTTTAATAATCGGCTAGCTTTATAATAGTTAATTAATATATAAATATAATTTTTATTATAATCCTTTATTATTAAAAAGCGATATTTATAATATTAAATTATTTAATTAAATATTCGTTATATTATATAAATAAATTTATTTAAAATCCGTATTTTATAGGTTAAGATCTCGTTTTTTAATTAAAATAGGTCGTTTTTATTTTTAATTACTATCCTTTTTTTTAATTTATTTTTTATTATTATAAAGGTTTACGCTCGGTTAAGAAAATTAATAGGTTATATTTTAACTATTTTATATATTATTAATAGTATTTAAATATATTTTTTATTATAGTTTTCAATAGTCTTAAAGCGTTAAACTACTTTTTATTTATTTATTATAATAAAGGTCTTATTAAAGGGTTTTTTAAAATATTATCTTAATTATTTTTTATTATCTCGATAGGTAAGGCAGTTATTGTTATAATATATAGTTTAAAAGAGTAATTTATAAGGTATTTTTTTAGAAATAATATTAATCTATTTCTTAAGGATAAGTCGTTATTAAATTCGTTTAAGTTATTTATAATCCTTAGCTATATATTTTAGTTTATCGTAATTATAATATTTAAATTCTTTTTTTTAACGGGATTAATTTTAATTTATTATATTAAGATTTATAACTCCGTTATATTATTTATAAGTAATAGTTTATTAAGGATTATTATTTTTATTATAATAGTTTTTTTAGTTAAAGTTATATTAAGGTTATTATTAATATTTGCGTCTTAAGTTAGGTTTTTATCGTTATTTTTTCTTTTTTTTTTTTTTATAAAAACGGTTATCGATTTTAATTATAAGTTTAGTATATTAAAAGAAATCGTTTAGTTTATCGATCTTAATAAATTCGTCTTTAATTTTATTTTTTAGTTTTTAATAAAATATAAAAATCTTAGTATTGTTAGTAAAATTAAGTTAAATATTAAGGCGTCTAAACTTAATTAAATAGTCTTTTATTAATTTAGTTTATCAAAATTATAATATATCGTATTTAATTTATTATTTTTTATTTAGATTTTAAAAAAGCGATTTAAAAGCTTTTTTAAACCTATCGAAATTATAATAAATATTTCGTATTTTAATAGAGTATTTATTAAAAGTTTTTTTTTAAAAAATATTTTTTTAAAAAGGTTTAAATTATTTAAAAGTTTATTTTTTAAAAAAACTAACGGCGTATACGACTTTTTTAATTTTATTATTAAAATCTTTTTAATAAAAGTTTTAAAAGTTTTTAATTTAAATTAAGAATCTTTTTAAGGTTTTAAAGGTTTCGTTAAAAGTAATAAATATATTAAGTTTAAGTTTTTATCGTCTTTTATTAAAAAGGGTAATGACGATATTAACGGCATTTTAGAACGTATTTATTTAGTTAGCGAGGTTTAAAACCTTTTAATGTTTATTTTTAAATTTTTTAAACATAGTATTAAATATTCTTTATATTTTAATAATATTACGGTCGTTTTTAATTTAAACTTTTATTAATTAAGTAATAATAGTATTAAAAAGGTCCGTTAGTTTTTTATTATATTAAGTATTTTAGTTAATAACGCAACGTATTTAGGCGTATATTATTTTATTAAGGACCGCGTTTTTATTAAAATTATATTTAATATTAGGTATTTTTATATCTTTTTCGGCTTAGGCTAGCTCGGCGTTTAAAACCTAAGGCTTTTTATTTTTATTAAAAAAGGATTTAATAAATATTATTTATATTATTTAATAAGTTTTTATAAAATCGACTTATTAAATAAAAGTAATTAAAATATTATGGTTAATTAATCGTAATAAGGTTTATATTAATAAAAATCGAGGCTACGATATTCGTAAATAATAGTCGTTATAAAAATAATTTTAATAAAACTATTATTTATAAATTATAAAGTAAATAAAGCTTTAGTAATTAATTATAATTTTATTAAATAAGTTTTTAATAAAAATAGTTAAAAATAATCGTTAAATTTAATATAAAAATTAATTATTAAAAAAGCTATAGAAGTCTATTTTTAAACCTAGTTTAGGCTATTTTATATATAAATCCTAATTATAAATATATTTTTTATAATATTTTATTTATTATTATTTAACCGTTTACCGAGTGGTTATTTATTTTATATTTTTATAATCGCCCGTTTTATTTATTTACGGGTATCTATTTTTTATTTTATTATATAATCGTAATTATATAATTTATTTATAATTCTTTCGTCCCGAGGGAGGCTGTTTAAGTTCTTATTGTTATATATATAGTATAGTAGCCGCCGTAGGTCCTGTGGGGCAGGGCCCTGGTTTGGCAATGCGTGTTGGGTCGTAATATATAAGAGGGGTATATATAATATTTCCTTATAATTACTTAGTAATTTAATTACGTATTAAAACGACTTTATATATATAAATAGGCTCGCTATATCCCTTTATTTAAAAAAAATAATAATAAAAATATATTTATTATAATATTTATTTTACTATTCGCTTTACTTTTTTATATTACTTTTCCGTATTGCTTTTTAATTATATTACTTTTTATAATTAATACGCTTAGCTTATATACTTACCCGGCTAGCCTATAGTCTTACCCCCTCTGTCGGAGGTGCCCTCTGCCAGAGAGACTATGTTAATTAAATTTAGTATTATATATTATTTAGGCTTTTTTTTTAATAATAATTATTAATAATATTTTATATAGTTAAATAATATAATATTTTATTTATAGCCGTAAATAAAAAGTCGTAAGTTCGAATCCTATTATAAGAGTTTATATTATTTATAATAAACTTAACGGTTTATTTAAATAATATATATTTTTAATTAACCTAGCCTCGGATTTTCTTTTTTTTAAGCGATTTTTATTTAATTAAATAAGTTAAATATAAGGCCTTACGATATTTGATTATTTGATTTGTTGAAATCCTTATATTTGATTGTTTATTTGACTTATTTGTTTGATTAATTTGAATGGGTAGGTGCGCTGGGGAGGGATGGAATCGACTAGGGCATACGTAGAAGATGTCGGTCAAAATTTGACAGTTCCTCGATGAACCCGGCCAATAGTTACCAAGCTGAACTACTGTAGTAGGTTGACTGACAGTTGGCATAGTCATTCAGATAGTCAGTTAGGCAGGCGAAATCTTCCAGCTCCCAGTTTCCCTTCTTGAACTTTCCGGTCTTTTCGTCTGCCATCTCGGCATGGTCGATGCGTCTGGTCGTTGTCTCCACTTGACCTGGCGATAGCCCCATCGACGCGAAGTATAAACAGCGTCCGTTTCGAATTCCTTTCAGGTGTTGGTGACTCGCCTTCAATGAATACCCGACGTGTACTTGAGACATGGCGCTATTTTTGCGAAGCAGTCGTCCACAACTCAGGACGTCGAGATGCAGGTTGCCCCGAGAGCCTGGACTATATATATTTCTCCAACAGAAAATTTGATGGGTGCGGACTAAATCATCGACTGCAGCGACATGGCATGTTTTCTTCGCTGCAGAGAACGAGGCGAGGCTTGCAACATAGTCGCCATAGCACAGAATCTCACATATGTGGACTATGAGCTCTCCCGGTAGAGTATACATAGTCCATTTGACGCCGTGCATCTTTGCAGCTCAAGTCAGAGAAATCTGTTTGATCTTGCAAACTTGCAAAGATACATCAAACAGAGGGCGACGTTACGGGCATTGCCTCTGTCTAAATTGAAAGCAAATGTTGCCTGGTGAAGAACTGGTAAACTGGTAATGCATCGCCTGGCTTCGGCGTTGAATGAGGGGTTGACAGCACTTAATCCAGCTAGGTTAGCCCTCGCAACCAACAGGAATTTTGATCAAGTCATCACCAGGTGGGTCGCCACACCAACAAAAAATCTGAAATAGGCATGAAGCTCATCACTTCACAACGCAACCAGCGCAAGTCACGTCGGGAATATGTAAACACCCACTTTCGCTTACTGGCAATTCTTCTTTTGAATTCAAGCCTACAGAAAGGACAAATTCTGGTGTATGGCCCACGCATCACCACGACTTCGAGAGACAAGAATAGCGTCAACATCAAGGAGAACCAAATATCACCAGAAGCAAAAGGTAATGAGGTCCATCCAGGATTCGAACCTGGGCCTACGGAAGGTTCTGACAATCAGAATCCAACGTCCTGACCAACTAGACTAATAGACCTATCGAAGGGAGATGAATATCCACTACTGCTGTGGGCTGCGAGGGCCATTTCGCGATTCAAGTTTGGTCAGGGTTAGGCAAATCGATTTTTGAGGTGTGGTGGGGACGACTAGCACCAATCCGCCTGTCCAACTTTGATACACAAAGTGACTTGTAAGACAAGCCAGGACACTCCGTTTTGATGGCTTCAAGTCAGCCAATATGATGTTCCATGTATTGTAGGCTATAGATCATAATGGGTGAGAGAAGTCACAGGGATGTGGTTTCAGATTATCTTGGCGGTATGTAAAGTTTCCATGTTTTTGAAGATGTTGGGCAATTGCCCACGAGTAGGTACAGGGTTTCTATGGATACGCTAATCTCCCGTTCAAATGCCTCTGAAAGAATGGAATCCCAGGTAGCCTTAAAGCTATGATATCAATACTCTAAGCCAAGAGCAAACCAATAGGTGCTGGTTGCTGCAGTAAAATGCTAGGTCCAGCCACAACCGTGGCCAATTTAGGTGCACCAGGACAATCTGCCAACACGGCGATGATGATTCCCTTGGTCTCAAACTCGGCCGGGATGGTCGCGTTGACAACATCGCCAGATTTCCATCCCGACACATCAACTGGCACACTGGTGTTCCCCACGGCGTGGAAGAAGACTGCATAGTAGCTCTTTCGCTCGTCAAAGACCGGCTGATCAGCCGCCTTGGTGAAGTTGAACGAAATATCAGATCCCGGGGCAATGGACTTTGTACCGGCCACAGTCGACATGGCCGGGAGGTGCTGACTAGGATTGGGGTAAGTCGGATTCGCAGACGGACAACTGCCCGGGATGATGAAGGCGTTTGTCAAATCGAGAATCTCGTTGGCGTAGGGAAACACCGTATCGCTTGGTCCAGAGAACGGGTTTGCGCCCCAGACATCCAGCAACGACCAAGTCTCGTGCCTCGACTCCACCGTCGCGATAGCCACCATGGCGCCGCGCGCGGCCTTGCTCTTGGGCTCCTGAACCAGACCGGTCAAGAAGGCCATGCTGGCGACTTCAAGGTAGGTGGCCAACGCCAAGAAGCTCGTGGCGTCCACGAAATGGTATTCATACTTGCATGGCCCCGGCTTGACACTTGTGTTGGAGATTTGGTTCTGGAAGATACGCAAGTGTCCCGCCTCGTTGTTGCGGATCTCCGTGATGCGGTCGTACGTTGTGTTCGGGAACCCGGCCTTGACGAAAGAGGAAGTGTTGAAGGCTTCAACACCTTGTTGATAAAAGTTAAAAATGGCCCATTCGGCTGCCAAAAGGTTTTGCCAGACTTTGTCATCTGGCCCCGGTTTCCCCGATTCTGTAGGGAGGACCGGCGCGGTGATATTGCCCGGGAATGGAGGTGCTTTGCCCTTATAGTCGCTGAAGAGAGTTGACTGTCCCGGGATGGGGCCGTATGTTGGATCAGCGAGTTTTTGGGCTTCTGGGTCTGGTGTTGGTGCAGCTGAGGCAGACCATGGTAGCATCGCTAGGCATGAACCGAGCAGTATAGAATGGATAGATGCCGGCATGTTGACTTGCTGTTAATGAGGAAATTTTGGTTGATTGTATGTTGCAGCGTGTTTGATGGATGTAGTAAATGATACTGGTTTGTCATTGACCATTTGCGACATGATTGCCGATGGGAGAATATTGAATTTATACAACTTTCTGGTTGAGCTCATGGCAAGCAAAGTTGTCGAATTCCACATAGCTTCTGCAGATACGAGTAATATCTCCTTCGATTTGACGTCAGAGATTATGTCTACGGCCGCTGTGTCAGTCTCTAGAGACTAAAGGAAATGCACTTGATTGGATTCCGACTCAGATGTCAATAGTCTAAGACATGTCCAAGAGTGACCCAGACTAGCTGCATAGGGCTGTTTTCTCGAGCTCAAGGCTGGAGAGCTGGGTAGCCTCGAGAAATGCTACTATTCAGGAATGGTCTCAGGGCACTTTCAGCTCTAGCTATGAGTCTAAAATGCTAAGCATTGCCAAGCTAGCGGGACGAATGCTGATCAGCGTGTCTGCTTTGTCCATCTCGATCGGGCACAGTCGACTAGGGCTTATCTTTCGGCAAGCCGGCACACATGACGCAGGCAGACGGCGAGGTCGCGCTCTCACATTGCCAGCGTTGCGGCACGCTGTCAAGGGCGAGGTCCATGTGGCGAACATGCATGGGCGGCATTGACCTTAGCTCCCGCCACTGACATCTTTCCCCCACCACCTCGCAGCTTGTTTACGTCGATTCTCGACTTTCACTTCGGGCAAACGGTACGCTCATTTAATCTACCCAACAACTTAAAGACCCTCAGATTGGAGCAATATCCCTCGACAAATTCATCTTGCCTGCAGTGAGAACTGATGTCTGTCGACAAGCTTGTCAGTCGAGTTATTGTCGCTGGTTCATATTAGTGGCAGAGACTCCCAAGTTATGAACTCTCGGTTTCGCCCACTTTACGGTTCAAGATCCCATGGGGAACAAAGTGGACAGGATCCCGCAGAGGGCCAAGGATTCCCGGTTTTTTTCCAAGAACACGGGGGACCAAAACACTGATTGGCAAGGAAATGAGATCATCCCTGGCTAGATATTTCTCCTCACGCTTATGGCCCCAGCTCCCACTTGCTCCCGGTCGGACACGGGATCCCGCCAAGGTACTTTCACACATATTATGATCTACACAGCACAGCAGCAACGTGAGTGAGGTGGCCTCGGAGGTAGTGTCGGCCCCCCACCGCCGGATCAGATAAGATGCATCAGATTAGATTAGATGGATCTGATTCGAGGAGTTGCATCATGTAGGCAGAGTTTTCAGACTTGGCATTACGCTCACTTACCCGTAATAAGCTAGGTACGGGCAGGATGAAATAGCTCGAGTTTCCTCCAGTGGACGGGCGGTGGTGGGCTGTTCCGCGCGCCAATCCATCCATCCATCCTAGGGCCATCCACCCCGTCTCCGGATGCCACACTACATGTCGTCTCGCGGCCCATCCTGCATGCTGAAGATTTGTTGAAGAGGGAAAATCTGCGGATCCCACTGCGACATTCCGCCATTCGTGTACTTCTCTAAAGTATGGCCTACGGGCAGAAAGAAATAGGTTTACAAGGGTGGTCAGCAATAAATACCAGCTGTTCCCAGCCCTCAAAAAAATGGCGCACCTCTTCGCGCGAGCGAACGTCTGAAAGGCCTTGGCGGTTTCTTTTCTCAGGCCAGAAAACTACGCTTCAGTATCCTTTCTCACGATCTACAGGCTAGTCGAGGCGGTTCTCCTAAGCCCTCCACGATCGCAAAGATGGCTCTCGTCAGCTTCGTCACGTCGCAGAACTTTGAGAAGCTCAGCATTCTCTTCCAGTGGAAACTTCTCGTGTTGGCCGTGATTCCCGTTGCTGTGGTGTACTGCCTAAGATGGACGAAATCACCACCGGGCATCGACATCAAGCAGTACTCTCACTTCCCACAGCCTGAAGAGGCGGATCCAGTGAGGGGTCATTGGCCGTGGATTGAGAAGTCCGCTGGTCTGGGTGATCCTCGAAGGGCATTTGGTACGTTTCCAATCGCAAAAATAGTGAGAAAGTCTCGGTGGCGACGTAATTGGGTCGCGCTGTGTATCCTTCACGAGCGAGTTGCGATTGGAATGATGTGCTAATGAGTTGACTTTTTAGATGAGATTCTGTACGAACAGGCTGAGAAGCTTGGTTTCCCTCCCGTTCTTTTGGTGGACTGGCGCCCGATCGAAAAGTTCCTGATCCTGTTCATCCTCGACAACGATGTCGCCGAACAAGTCACCAAGCCCTCGAAGCAGTACAGCACCAGTGTGCCGAAGCATCCCGCCATCCAACATCTCGCTCCCCTGGTTGGCGCACGATCTCTCGTAACAACGGATGTAAGTCATGTTGCTTCCGGGCTTGTGCGATATCATGGTTCTCACGTTGACGCTTGCACACTAGGGCGAAGAATGGAAGGGACTACGAAAGAGAATTCTCCCCGGCTTCGCGCCGTCGCATCTCCTCGGTCTCGTAAATGTCATTTTAGACAAGTCGGAAACCTTCATCGAGCTTATGGAGAAGAAGGCGGCTACTGGCGAAGAGTTCGCTATTGACGAATACACCACAAACTTGGCCTTCGACGTCATCGGTAAGTCTGAGACGATACCACTGCGGCTTGGGAAACGCATACTCATTGAGCCTAGGCATCGTAACATTCGATATGGACCTGAACGCGCAAATCGAGGGAAAGCAGAGCGAGGTGTTGCTGACATACCGCGCCCTGTCACAAGCCTTCAACAAGCGTATTCCCGGTAAGAACTGGCTGCGTGAATACTTCACCGAGAACGAACGCACTCTCAGACGCCTTGACAAGAAGCTCGACGGTATCCTCAAGGCGGAGATCAAGAAGCAGCACAAGGAGCTCCTAGCCGGCGCCGACACCGCATCCCGCAGCGTCGCGACGCTCAGTCTCCAAGGTATCGACGTCCTGACCCCGGAGATCCTCCAACAGACCAGCGACACCCTGCGCGGTTTTCTGTTCGCCGGCCACGACACGACGAGCATCTTGTTGCAGTGGTGCTTCTACGAGCTTCATAGGCGGCCCCAGTCGGCCAAGGAACTAAAGGATGAGCTTGACGAGGTCTTTGGCCCGGATCAGAGCCCCAAGTTTGTCATCGAGCAACTCAAGGGTCCCGAAGCTGGAAAGCTTCTGGCCCGCCTGCCTTGTAAGTCATCCCCCTCCATGCCATTCGTACCTTGGACACTGGCTAAAAACAAGCCGCGCAGACACCGATGCAGTCATCAAGGAAGCCCTGCGCCTGCATCCTCCCGGAACCACAGCCCGCGTCGCCCCCCAAGGCTCCGGAACGACCCTGACCCTGCCCAACGGACAACAGCTGGTCGTCGACGACCTCTGCGTGACGCCCCGCGCCTACATCATCCAGCGCCACCCCAAGATCTTTGGCGAGACCAAGGACGACTTCATGCCCGAACGATGGCTCGGCGAGGAGGGCGCCAAGATCCCGGACAGCTGCTTCAGGCCCTACGAGAGGGGACCCCGACGGTGCACCGGATCCGAATTGGCGAATCTGGAGGTGCGCATCATCCTGGCCTGCATCGCGAGATACTTTGAGTTTGTCAAGGTTGGACAGGGCGAGCTGGATCTGGATGAGAAGGGGCAGCCTCAGCTCGACGAGAAGGGTTTCTACAAGACGAAGTCTGTCATGTTCTCGGTGAGTGAACCTACGGCACCCCTGCGCGTGTGATATTCTCCCCGCTAACCCTGCTTTACAGACTCACTTGGTTACCGCTAAGCCTGTCGACGGCATGAGGGTGAAGGTCCAGATCAAGGGACAGGCGTAATGTAACTTGATACCACCACTCGACAAACACAATGCAGCTCTGAGATATGACGACTTGACGGTCTGACATGTTTATCTTGTCACGGCTGGTGGGGGATATCAAGCTTTGAGTAGATTTCATCTTGGACGAGGCCTTGGCTAAGCTTTTGGCGCATAGCACAAGACATCGATGATCCGTTCGTCATTCGACTGTTGTCAAAAGAAGAATGATCATTAAATACACGAATCCCAGCTGTCCGCGACGCTCCAGACTAACCTGTCCCGGCTGAACCCGTCATGGGTCCGGCACTTGAAAGCATAGACTGTTTTCTCATCCACCATGCGTTACGGAGGGATCGGAGGGGTAGAGGGTCGTCCGTTGTCGGCGAGCTGGAGGAGCTAATGCAAGCAAATGGGTCTGCAACGTTTCCATGCCTGGCACTCTTGTGGAAACTTATGCAGGCCCGCTCGCTTGCGATAGCAAACGACTCCGATAGCTAATAAAAACCCCTCTGCAAAGTGCCGATTACTTTTCATAGGAATCTCGAGCATGCAGGCATCATCTGAGCTTCGGGTTCAACTGGGTCTGGGGACAGGTGGGGAATCTAGCAAAGGGCAATATCGATCGCTTCTAACCAATCTCGAGCCAAGTCGGTTTTGTGATTTTCGTTTCAAAATGGAGTTTGTATTTCATTGTGCAGCACATGGAGAAGAGAAAGGAATGTTTAATTATACAATCAATTTCTAAACTCTCAAGAGAGTATTTACTGATACTGCGCGTGTGAAATGGCGCCAACAGAGACTTGACAATCTTTTAATCGAGTTGTTTCAACCCTCCAAAGGCGAAGCGCAAGCTGCTTATCCTATCCCCCGAGTAGTGAAGCCGACTACGCGACGTGACCGCCAAAGGCATCGTTCATGGGGAAGGCACTTGCAGACGTTGCTGCCCCAGGTGAAGACGGAGGCCAACATCCTTGTCCCCAAAGACAGTGGCGATTGGGACACAGCGACAGATCCTATTCTGCCAGGGGAATACGCCTGGTGTCTGCGACTTGGGCTCATCCCTCACCAAATAAGCAGATTGGGTCTCGGGAACGGCGAAGTACTTCCCAGTGTCGTTGCCATCGCCGAGTTCCGCAGCGAATGTACCTTTTTCCTCTACTAACATCTCGACATCCTCCAAGGTGTCAGAGGTGTCTGACAGAGAGGATAGAGGGGCGGATGAGGTGGTGTGCATGGCTCTGATATTGACGGCATCGTCGCCGCTGTTATCACTGCCAGTGGTGCGCTCGACGATTACAATGTTTGCCCTGGGGAACTTCTTGATGGTGATAGGGTCTTTGCCGATGATATCGAGCAAGCGCTTGAAGTCATCCAGGTCTTCTCGCAAGAACATTGCGTCGCCAAGTTCAATTTGCTTGATGTTGGTGGTGGTGATGGCCTACTCCGCATAGGCAAAGGGGGCGGCGAGGAGAGCAACGGTGGCGAGGTTCCTGATCTGCATTGCAGCGGTGTTTGTAATGCCTTTCGAGTAAGAACACCGATATGGGAGGAGAAAGGAGTTCTCTATGTATCTCATGCAGAGATCTTTCTCCATTGATCTGTTTCCCCGTAGAGGCATAGTTCTGGAGCGTACTTAGCTTCCGAAAAAGGCAACAGCTGAGAGCTAGACCGTCCCACCAACTTCATGAAGCTAAATTCTTCTCCGGTGATGATGAGACCGGCTATACCAATGAATTGAGCAAGTTTCAAGCCTCGAAAGGTGCGGACCAGCGACAGCAGAGGACACCATGGTTCCCAGTCACAACTGCAGGATGATCGGGTGCAGAATTCGAACACTTCTGCCCAGTTGTTCCTTAGAACTCAAATCGTGGTGAAGTCACATGCTACTGTTTGAGATGCTTCAACAATTTCATCCTCTTGACTGGGTAGAATAGGTTGTTGTTTCTTGGTATCTCAAGTCACATATCATTAGATTTGATAACTTTCCCCCCGTACCATGTATGATTGTGAGTTAATACAGCCCGATTGCAGACCAGTAGAAGACACGTACACGGAAACTGATAATCAAGCTCCGTTCCGGGGAAGAAGCCTAGCAATAGCTCAACATAAGCAGACCTCTACTCTCATCCCCATGGATCCCAGATCTTCATGTAAGCCCATCAATACCCAAACCCAACAAGGCACTCAACAAGCGCCCTCTCCGCACCCTCCCTCATCTCCTCAATCTCCTCCTTTGTCTTGCGCCTCAACATGAAAGGATGCTCCAGCGCAAAAGGACAGGCCAGTGCCTCGAGCCTCCTCAACCCATCCAGCGCAGCCATACCGGCAATCTCGCTGGGCCGCAGCGCGCCCCTCTCCCTCAGCGCGCCGTCCCACGCCCTGGCCCTCGTCAGCTGCCCCGAGGCCTCTTGCGGAAGACTGGCTCCGATGCCGTCAAAGTCGCCGGTCAGCATCGCCTTCCCCAGAAGACCCCGACTGAGGTCCGGGTCCCGTCCCGTGCCGCCGCCCGTGTTGCCGCCGACGTCGCCTAGGGATGTGAAGAATTCGTGGCAGGGGTGCGAGATGAAGGCGAAGTCGAAGTCGAGGATTGATGTAAGCTTTTTGGTCGTCGTGTCGTAGAGCGTGTTGTTCGTGGCTAGTAGAAACATCAGAATCTTGCAAACCCCAGGATTTTTGATGTCATTTTGAATCGATGAATGTGAAGGGGCGGGGGGGGGGGGGGGGGTGGGAAAGTACTCACTGAGGTCCCCGTGAATGAGAGCCCGCCTCCCAACATCAACCCCAGACCCCTCAAGATACCTCTCGAGCCCAGACTCCAAGAACCCATCGACGCGCTCCCTCACGCCGTTGGGCCTCCACCCCTCCAGTGCCGGACTCGCATCCGCATCCTCCAGACGGAGCGCCAACCTCGCCTTCCAGAAATCGCTGTACGTCTCCCACGGCCCGCCCTTGAGCGTCGTCATCCGACCCCCCACAATCTCGCCCCGCGCATCGATCGTGAGGCCCCCGTGAGACCGGATACCCTCCGGCAAAGGCGCCCTCTGAATCCCCGTAACCACGTCCGCAATCTGCCCCAGCACATCGCTCTTCTCCCCGTCGTCCAGGTCACGGAACACGGTATCCAGCGGCACGCCCTCCTTGAACTCCATCAGACTCCACCCGTAGCGGCCGCCTTCTCCTGCTCCCTTCTCCCCCGCCTCGGAAGGGCGGTACGGCCGCCAGTCGTACAGCGCCGGCACGAGCCCCGCAATCTCGGGCTTGTACGATACAAGACCCTGACGCGCGAGGTGGATCGCCGCCACCTCGTTCTCGACGCGGGTCTCCTGGACGATGCCCTCCGCCTTCGGGTTCGCGATGCGCATTACGATAGCGCGGACGCCCTCTGCCGGGGGCGGCTGGGTGTAAGGGCGGCGGCCACCATCGGGCAAGGAGAAGGAGGATGGCGTGGCGGGGGTGGTGAGGGTAATTTTGTAGATATAGTTGTTGTAGGCGAAGGGAGATGTTTCGTCGTAGTCTATGGGGGTGATTTCTACGGCCTGGGGGACATGGTCAGATTATTTTCCTTTTTCGGTGTAACGAAGGGAGAGTGGGCATTTTACTTCGAGTCCATAGCTATGGATGACGGTTTTGACTAGGTCTAGGCGCTCTTGATATCTCTCGTGATTCATGGTGGATAGCGGATGAGACTAGCTCAAGTGTTGGGATAGGCTTAGTAAGGTTGGTATCTTGGAGGTTGATGGCTGACTTGAGTTTAATGATTCTCGACTGAGGCATCACCACGATGTCCTGGCTTCTTTTAAGTACATAGGCCCTGGAGAAACAGCGACACCAATAAATCCTCTTTGCGTCCCCGCACATTCAAGAGAGTTGACTCATAAATCTCAGAACGGAAGGAGCAGAAAGCTTCTGGCCATCACTTTGCTGGTCTTGACGAAAAGGGACCGCAATAAGTGAGAGGATAAGCAACGTACACTAGGTCGTTACTGAGCCTTTTCGCAGAGAAGCCAACTTGGGAACTAGTTTGCTGAGAAATGCTTACATTGGCAAATGGGATGAGGTCCGAGCCGCAAGACACCAATATCAAGTCGGCGCGCTACTTCTGGTTCGGACCATGACATGTAGCAGTTGACGTGCCATGATCCCTGCTAGACCGCTTTGCTGCCTGGAGGCGGTATGCCGAGAGGTGTAAAGTGCGCATTTCTGCCTAAGCTGTGCCGTACAGATGCTCGAGAAGACGTTGATGCGAAGCTGGACCGAGCACCTCGCTTCAAAGACTTGAAGACTTGCTTCCCATACAGAGGATCGCAAAATTGGTGTCTTTTTGGCGTGTGTGTTCTGTCTACTGCGCACAGACTATTCGATCCAGGAGCGGCTTAGGTAAGTACATTGCAGGATGCGGTGTACCTCGATAGAGACCACGCTACATCAGTTTTCGTGGGAGCCCAAGATGGCTTATTGAGCAATCTTTAACAGCTGGCATTTGGAAAAAGAATAAACAACGTGATGTGAGCCAGAATTAGCTGATGGTGCACGTTGACAGCCAACAGCGTCAGCAAAATGCGGCTTCCTCTCGCTCACGCCCAGCTATCTCTCTAACCGAGCCGCCATCCAGATTGCATTTAAGCAGTAAGCAGCTTATGGCAACAACAATACTTCTACACCACGCCTCGTTTGGAACCCCCAATGTGCTTCAAGGTGGCATTCTCGAGGGCACCGTTGCAGGTCGAGCTCGCATCTCGTGTCAGGCCCTCAAAGGACAAAGGGCCTGTATTGGCCAGGACAAGGCACGAAGACCTGCCTTTCAACCATTGAGCAAGCTGTCCGTCCCTCAATCTGTCCATGTATTGGTGCTTCTTCCTCTTAATTCCAGCCGGAGATGTCCAACGTTTCGTTGGAGACCGCAATAACATTGCGTCCCTTGAGGTCACCAGTCAAGCTGCGAGGTAAGATAGCGCACGACATTTGCACTCCAGCCCGACGATCAGAAGTACGGTAGTACGGCAGTCTCACAAGGCTGCAACGTTGTTCTCTCAGACCTGACGAACTTTGCATCGCTCATTCAGTTTCAACCTAATATGAGAATCTATCATACGGCAGCCTCCTCACCTGCTCGCCTAACGACTTACTCCCTATAATTTTCCTCAAAGCCTCCCTCGTAAACTGAACTCGTCGATCATCCTGCAGCAGGTCCATCACCTGCTTGCCGAACCGCTTGTTTTCTTCAACTGCCTCGACGACCTCCTCTGTTACCTTGACTTCCTTGCCTCGTCGATGACGAAGAAGCAGTTGGTCTATATACTGCCTGGCGAACGACTTATTTCCTGCAGCTGCCTTGATGACCTCCTTAATAGCCCCGTCCGTAAACTTAATCCATTCGTCGACATGTAGCAGATCGAACACCATCACATCGCCGAGACGCTTGTTTCTTACAGCTGCCTTGACGACCTCCTCCGTCACCTTGACTTCCTCGCCTCGTCGATCAAGCAGCAGATTCATCAACTGCTCGCCGAACGACTCGTTTCCTACAGCTGCCTTGACGACCTCCTCCGTCACCTTGACTTCCTCGCCTCGTCGATCAAGCAGCAGATTCATCAACTGCTCGCCGAACGACTCGTTTCCTACAGCTGCCTTGACGACCTCCTCCGTCACCTTGACTTCCTCGCCTCGTCGATCAAGCAGCAGATTCATCAACTGCTCGCCGAACTGCTTGTTTCCTACAGCTGCCTTGACAATTCGGGTTGTGATCTCAATCTCTTGGCCCTGGTGCTCTAGTAAAAGTCGTAGACAGCCGCTGCTGAAGCTACCAGCAATGGCCTCAACAAGACCTTCTGTGACCATGACATTTGCACGTTCACTGAGCAAAAGCTCCACTACTTTCTCGCCTGAGCAAACGTCCTGAGCAGCTATCCGAGCGACACCTTCTGTGAGCCAGATCATTGAATCTCCCCTCTGCATATATTCTTGGACGCTACCGACGTCCAACTTTGCCGAGACAATCTTCTCCAGCGCCATACCGGAAAGCCTCGGGATGTCTGCCTGAAGTCTGGCAAGTCCCGGCCGACCAGTGGTAACGATCGACGTAACATCCTCATGCAAATACGCCAAAATCTGTTCCGCAACTGCCTCTTCCGACTTTGTGTAGTCTGCCACAATGCTTCCTTCTTTTCCCCTAAGATCAGAAGCAAGACCTAATAGTGCGTAGAGCCGATCGCGAGGATCAGTTGCTTGGCTTTCTCGGAATCTCCAGAGTAGGGAACAGATGTTCATCTTCTGAGCCCGCCCAGGGGGCTTTTGGATCGGACCTAGCATGATATCGATCACTGCCTGGCACTGATTGCTAGGCCGGACATCGAGAAGTGTCGGTGCCATGGCGAAGGGCTTTGCGCTGATCCAGCCCTCACTGCAACCAATGGATGCCTTGCGAGCGTTGGCTATCTCCTGTATAATCCAGACCCGACTGAACCATTTCTTGGCCATCAGACACTTAAGCTGTGAAGAATAGTCGTGCCGTGATTGATTCATACGCACGCCCCCCCAGACCCGATGCCATCGATCGTCGGTGGCAGGCCAGTTCTTCCAAGCCCCTGGCGGAACCGTTGTCCTGAAGTTCTCGAGTAGCGCAAGAACATGGCTAACAGCGTGTTCCACATGACCTAACCAGCATAACACTTCGTCAGCATGCCTGTACACCTCACCCATCCATCCAACTTGATGACCCCGCTCTTTGACGTTGCTTTGGTCGATGGAAATAGCATCGACCCAGAGAATGCGATCCACCTCGGTTCGCCTCAGATTTTTAAGGGCTCCAAGAAGATTGTCCGTGATGAAGAGCGCTTTCCCGTCGACTGTAATCATATTGCGTATTCCAGTGTCGCCCCAGCAGTACGACAGTGCTTCATATGGTAGGAATGTTTCGACGTCTTGGATGACTTCTTCCTTCTCTTGACTTTGGCGATCGGGAAGGCACGCTTGAAAAACGCTGCAACTAATCTCATCTTGTCTGCGGCCCTTATGAAGGGTGAGGAGTCGGAAGTGTGCGCGGTCTAAGTCGAACGGTGTATAGGTGAAGTAGCTGGCCAAGGGTGGCTCTTTGCTGAGCATTTCGGCACTCATACAATGAGCTATACAACGGAGATATGAGAAGACGGCTTCATGGACCTTTGCCGCCGTACGGCTTTCGCTACTGCCTTCAAGGCGAGAAATACCAGCGACAACCACAAGTGATTGAGAGTTCATACTTGCAGCAGCTGTTTCAAGGCAGAGAATCCCGCGCTCGTTGACAACGCGATCGTTGACAGCAGCATAGTTGAGAAACTCTGGGGAAGATCCTATCGCACCGCCGTAAGCCTTTCGCTGGTTCTTCTGGCTGGCCTCACCGAGTGCCTTCAGCCAGGCATTGCGCCCCTCCTGGGTGCGGACGGATTTAATGGCCATTGCTGCACATTCAGGGATACGTCGTGGCTCGCGGGTCAAAACAAGCCGCTGCTGAGATATGGTTTGCTTCGCATCAAAGTACACCACAGCACTCTGCAGGTTTTTTGTGCCAACAATGACATCACCCACGCGAACAATGCCCGCTGTGGACGACGCAATAGCGTCAACACTCGCTAGGAAACCAGCCCGAATGGACGGGAAGTCCCCCAGCAAGTTGTCGACAAGATCTCCAGTGTGTAGAGACGTAGCACCAGGCGTCTTGCTTGCAGCTACGACATTGTGCTGACCTATTCTTCCAATGCTGTAGGTCATCTGGAGGGGTGTATGAACCTGGTTGTAGACTTCGTCGAAGAATGCCTCAGCAGTCTTATGGTATTCAGATGAGGGCAGAACCCACGCGATAGTGCAATCGCGATGATCCATGGAGAAAGAGCAGCCTGGTAAACTGAAATTATGATTCCGTAATTCTCAGGTAACGATGTCTGACGTAGAAATGTGGAAGTCACAAAGAGATAGGTTGTTGTATGTAGAGGGGAAGAGGGAATCACTGGCAGTACTGATATGTATGCTTATTCGAGAACGCCTAATGTTGGGTACAATTATTGGGCGCACTCGCAGGGCAGAATTGCAATGGCGCAGGAAGCCACCATGTTCATGGTGGTCAGACACGCTATCGTGAATGGTGTGTCGGAGCTATTTGCTAGCCAATTACTATGTGGTACTGGGATGTCGCATCTCACACCTCAAACGGGCAGATCAATGGCAGTACGATGACGCGATGTTGAGTAAGATGCATTATTTACAGGCAGTGGCCGTAGAGTGCGCAAAACAACTGCGTTGCCTGTAGCCTGCCTGATGTGGCATGGAAATGGCCATATTACTTAGTTACTATAAGTTACATGCAGAGGTACAGCGATGAATGGCGGCCGCATGCACGTCGAACAGAAACAGTGCCACCTCTTCCCAACTCATCTCCAGTTTCTCTATCAATCGCTCGCACAGGGTACCGGACATAGGCGGGGTGATATTTCTGGGTTGGCCGGCGCCATTCAGAGGGGCTCTTATCGCTCCGAAACATCATAGCCTCTGGCGGATGCGTCGCACGGTACGGCTACTACATCTCGCAGCTGTTGCAATTTCTGCATGAGTGAAGCCTTCGCTTGTTAGCATATCACGAATCAAGTCTTGTTGGGATTGCGCGAGAGTGGGCGCCATCGTTAATGAGAAGAGAGAGGGTTGGAGGAGGTGGAGGTGGTGGTGGTTGATCATCTCGGCTAAAGCTCGGCTATTCCCATTCTGAAAACCCAGCCTTGCTCAATGCATTAACACTGACGCGAATGCAACCGCAGAGCATCCTCAACTGTTCGTTTGTTCACCGGGCGGTTGCATGAGCATTGACTTAGTACACGATTACTGGAGTCGACTGAATGATATAGCACAGTTGAGCCAGTCGCTCCTTTTTTCTCAGAGAATCTTAATACGAAGGTGAGTAACGCGGACAATTACTCACATCGGTGAGATCCCCATGCCAATTATCATAGATGAATCATTAAAGCGTTTCCGTTGCTGGAGACACGACACTTGTACCCCAGACAGCATTGCTTGATTCAAAGAGCAGGATTGTGAGGAGACGTTGCGGGCTAGCGGACCGTCCGAACCGTCGATCGACTCTCGAATGAGAACAGATTATGTTGAGCAATCTCCATGCTCAAGGTGACAAACGCCGAGGCGTTTTGCAACCCTTGATCATTTCGCTAGAATATAAACTTCGTGCGCCATCTAGCCTCATAACTTTGCTGAAGATATCTAGAGACGTGATCTTGCGGTCTACAACGGCAAATGGGGCAGCGTTGGTCGACGATGTAAGAGAAGGAAGCTTCAGGGCATGAGTAGAATGGGGGGAGAAGGCTTGCTCCGAAGATTAAAAGACAGGTCGTCACGTTTCGCCCTGCATCTCTTTAAGTCTTTTGGGACTTCGAACTGGGACGCGAGCTCGACACGCAACGGCGCCATTTAGAATCAGGTCCTGGAGCAAATTGGCGCCAAAAGCAGTGCGCGTGCCATATGCTCGGATGCAGCTGTTTGTTGCTTACGCTGATGATTCCCAACCTACGCCAATAGTCACTTTTGGCTCCCATCACATTGGCTGTTGATTGTGAAGGCCGGCTGTCGGCGATTTGAATGAGCTATTTCGGGCTCCTATAAACACATGTGGTGTGGTCTCTGTCAAGGTACCCCTGCCTCCTACCATGAACCTAATCCATAGAAGGTCTGTGCTCAACAGACAAACTATACTTGCGAAGCGGACACTGGTTTTGCGATCCTCTGTGTCAAATCCGTCTTAGAGATTTTGAAAGCCATAGTGGGCTGTGGTGGACTGTCCTGCTGGTACCTATACCGACTCAAAAGTGGACCCTTCCAGCCCGACCTCGGACGCGATCAAGGTCCGGGATCCATCCTTGACACGACCATCCAACCAGGACGATAAGCAGAACCTGAGAGGACTAGGATAATAAACCGTAACCACCTTCAAATTCTTCAATAACAGCTGGTTTCGTGGTGTAGTTGGTTATCACGTCAGTCTAACACACTGAAGGTCTCCGGTTCAAGTCCGGGCGAAATCATTATTTTGCTTCCGCACCATCCGGTCATGATTCTTTTTATCAGTGCTGGGTATATTTCTCCATCGACGGGATCCTTGTAAAGCGACATGATACTTTTAGATAAATCACCATGGTTTTGGTTTGGGTGACTTCGAAGCCCCACCCCCTCGACACCAATCACCAACCCATCTTCCACTTCAGCTATCAATTACACCCACGATCCGCCCAACAACCCGGTCCCACTCTTCATCCCAGCGCAAGCTGCCCTCCTTCACAGCCCCCGCCTTCAAAGTCTTCAATTCCTCCTGGCCGCTCTTGCTTAGGAGCCTGATCAAGACCTCAGCCAGCTCAGTGGCTGTCTCGAACCCGCATCCGTTCTCACCTTCCTTGATCAGCTCGCCGAAGCTCTCATACGCAGAGTACGCGGCCACGGGTAGCCCCGAGCCGAACATATCAACCACCTTCATGGGCAAGTCAACGCCGGAGCTGGATTTGTGGAGGCAAACACCGAGGTCAGCACAGGCAAGGAGCGTGGCATACTCGCGGGTTGATAGCCAGGCGGTCAGGATGGTGATGCCGGGAAGCTTGCCTTCCAGGCGGAGATTCTTAATTTTTTCTTCATACTCGGCCTTTTGGGGGCCCTTGCCGGTAATGATGGCCAGGATCGGAGGTCGGCCGGCGCCGTTCTCTGTGACGGCTTCTTCGGGGTGAGCGTAGGCTACCAAGGCGTCCAGTAGCAGACCGAAATCCTCGTCGGGCGTCCACGAGGTGCTACTGACAATGAGGCGCGTGGTACCGGCGATGATGCTGTCGGCAACGTCCTTGGTCTCCTTGAGATGCGAGAGAAAAGCCTGCCGGGCCGCGGTCGATGCGATGGGTTGGAATACCTCGGCCGGACGGTCGTGCAGGGTAAAGATGGGCTTCTTGTTGCTGTACGGCTTCTCCTTGAGCTGCCGCGCCATGGCGTCGGTGACGGTGAGGTTGGCCGTGGGGACCATCCTGCCAAAGTACAACTCATACTTCTTGTAGAGCCATACCAGCGGGTTCTTCCGGCTGCGGCCGGTAGCCATGATGGACCAGCCGTAATTGTGCCAGTCAATAAGCAGGTGACTTCCTCTCAGGAGGGACACGAGAAAAGCCAAGTGTAGCGTGGGGATAGAGGGGGGGTTCTACACAAAGTCAGATATGTGCTTTTCGGGATGATGGCTCACCTACCTGAATGACGATCCATCGAGCTGGTGGTGCAGTGTACGCCAAAACGTAAAAGATGGACCAGGATTGCCAGACAACTTTGGCCGGCTTGTTGATAAGGAACGGAAGAGTGTTCCATTTGAAGACGGTAGGGAGAGGCGGCAATGGGTACAAAGCCACTCTCTCATTGCCAACGAGATCCGGATGGCGGGCGGTCTCCTTATACCCAACGAGGTCTACTCTCCCGCCGTGCTTCATGATGCTCATCGCATGGTACTGCATGCGAGGGCTGCGGCCTATGTCGCCGAGGACCAGGATCTGGATGTGGTCATCCTTGGGGTTCTCAGCCGCATGGTAGCGAGTGGGCAGCAGCTGTGTGAGAAAGTTGATGCCAAGGGCAGCGACAAGAGTGGTGCAGATGCCAGCAATGACGGATAGCACAAGGGGTATTAGCGACATGTTGGCAATGTGCGACAGTCCAGCACAGAGGGGGTAGGGTGGTGACGAGGGCCAAAATGAATCTCTGCTGCCGTGGTTGTGAGTGGTGGTGGAGTTTGGAGACGATCGTCAAAGCCTCAGATGTGGTGGTATCGCTAATGCAAAGTGTCCTGTGCTGTCATCTGAAGTTGCAAAAATTGCCTTACTAGTGCAAGTGCGCATGGAGGGGTCCGAGTTGAAGGCTGAGCAGCGGGGTGTAGGGAACACGATGTTGATGTGCTTTTAGTAGGTAGCAGAAGGCCAAATTGCCCAGACTTGCGTGACCGACGATGACCTCGTGCAGGCTGCCCAAGAGGGTCGTATGTTGAAAGGCCTATGAAGCTTCTTGACTGGGCTAGACTCGCTGACCTTCCAAGACCTCGTCTTCGTTGGCGCCTTCCAACTTGGGCAGGCCTTTTCGATGTTGCAACGGTGGCGCCAATGAGGGGCCGATCTGGGCGATAAGGTACCTTAGGATGAGGCAGTGTCACGTGGACGATAGCAAGCTGATCGGTACGTGTCTTTTTGGTCCGAGTCTTTTTTCCCGCTTTGCAGCATCAAAAACCTAGGTAGGTAGCCTCAGTGCCACTGCAAAGGAATAAGGTGGTGAGGCAGAGCTTCATCAATCTGCAGCTCCCCTGCGTGGGCCTGGATCATCATTTCTAGATTAGAAATCTCCGAACTCGACTTTTCGTCACCCAATCAATGGAAAACCAGGTGCTGCACATGCAACACCGACACAGACCATCAGCCTCAGCACAAGAGAAAAGAAGAAAAGACCATCCATGCCTATCAATCCGGCAACGCCTCAACTCCTCACGCAGGCATTGGCTTGGCCCAGAAAACATGTCGCAGCGGGGCTGGATAGCCAGTGTTAGCCACCTCACCGCTTTACCCGCGGCCATCCCATAACAGATTATCGGTCTAGGATCGGGGGGTCGCATTGCTCTGCCTCGCTGATCCGTACACGGTACACAGGCAGCTTCATGCAGCCAGTTCCTAGCAGCCCGGCCCAGGGCCCCTCTCTGATGGGCACCCCGGTGGCATCTTTGATGTGTCGCCCAGCAAATCACAGAGACGGCCGCCTCCTCGACCTGCAACTTATGTACCTGGCGCCCGGCCTCCCCACACGGAGAAATCTGCAGGGGTTGATGGCTGGATTCCCCTTTAGGTTCAAAGGTGGGAGATTCGTCTGAAAGACTGAAAAGAGGCACCACCCGACATGCCATGCGTCCCGAGGGTTCAGCACGAAAAAACAACAACAACAACGCTACTGGCACCATCCCGCCTTTTGACAGTTGTATAGGGCTACTACGGATACGTCGAGGACACTCTTATTGTTCCTCTTTTCCCTCCCCCTCTGCTTTGAAGCCTTTGCTCTCCTCCCTCCTCCCCTTTCAGCCACACATCGTTTTCTTTCATCTTAGGTTTCCAAAGGCCCAAAATTGGACGGCAAAAGCGAACCCGTCACCCGTCCGTCTGCATTCGCCGCTTCCAGCATTGTCTGTGCGACGCGCCGGCACGTCCGTCGACGATCAAATCTCCCGTCCCCCTCCAGGGCTCAGCTTTGGACTGCGGCGCCCAACGTCATTGACGGGGCGACTCCATTCCGGCCTTTTTAGCCTGTGCAGGTCCCCTGAACCACCGCCGCCATCGTTGCCAGCTCCAGGTCTGCTCAAGGTTACACCGGCCCGAACACACACGACTCTTGCCTCCTCACCTTCCACCTCTACGGCTTTGGACATCCCACGGCACCTCAATTGCAACACTCCTCGACATCTCGTACTTGCTGTCTAGCATTGCCTTCAAAAACCCATCCTCAAAGACAAGCAAAAGCGGACAACATCCGGCCCATGACTCAGGTTAACCCAAGATAGGGGGATCTTGGAATAGATCCCAACGCAACGGGCCCTTGGTGGAGAGGTGAACGAAAACGGCTCAACGAAAATACGACAGAGAGGCCCAATTAATCGCCTATTCCCGTCGACGCCGACACCGACATCAACACCACCACCGATCCCAGACCTGTGTCCCATACCGACCGACCGACCGACCGACCGACCGACCGACCCCGATAACGCACTGCGGTCAACATGGCCTCGTCCTACGCCTTGCCATCCTCCGCTCTGCCGCACGCCCACCATCACCATATGCACTCCCACTCCCACTCACCGCCGTCCCTCCACGCATTAAAGTCGACAATGTCCAACGGCGGGCTGCACTCCCACAGCCAGAGCCAAGACTCGACCGGCAGTGGCCACGCACATAACCACGATCACCCACATGGCCACAATGGCCACGCCCACGGCGGTCATTCACACTACCGAAGGAACTCGAGCCAGTCGTCTCTTCCTCGAGAAAGAGCGCCGCTCCAGTCCCTCGCTTCAATGGACGGCTGGAAGACGGATATAACACCGAGCGGGCGCCAATTGTTGACGCCTACGAATGGGTCTTTTTCGGAGACGTTTCAACCTCTCGATGGCGCGATGACGATAGACGAGCATCACCATGATCACGATCACGACCATTCACACTCGCACAACCATGCTCACGGCGATTGTCATAGTCACGACCACCATGGCCATTCGCACGCCCACAGCCACGCCCACTCCCATTCTCATGATCATGCGAAGCCGTCCTTGTTTACGAGGATCCTCCTGCAATATACGCCGGCCGTTCCGGTTCTCCACACTATTCTCGTTGAAAAGGACTCGAGAAGGATCTTCTACTTCATGACGTGAGTTGGTTCGCATTCGAATTCTCTAATCTAGAAATGACTGACATGCAGTAATCTTGCAGTCTCAACTTCGGCTTCATGGCCGTACAGGCGTTTTATGGTTACGTCACCGACTCGCTCGGTTTGCTCAGCGACACGATTCACATGTTCTTCGACTGTTTTGCCCTCTTTGTTGGTCTTTGCGCCGCGGTTACGAGCAAATGGGCTCAGAGCCAGCGATTCCCTTTTGGGCTCGGGAAGATCGAGACGCTGAGTGGTTTTGCCAACGGTATCTTGCTGATGTAGGATCCCCCCCAGCCTGCGGTACGATGGATGGATTCTAACAAAAGACAGGCTCTTGAGCGTCGAGATTATCGTGGAGGCATTTGAGCGAATCTGGGAAGGTCAAGAACTCCACCGGCTGAGGGAGCTTCTAATTGTCAGCTTCCTCGGCGGCGTTGTTAACCTCCTGGGCCTCTGGGGCTTCGGACACCATCATCACGGCCACGACCACGGCCACGGCCACTCGCATTCACATGACGAACATGATCACGGGCATGATCACTCGCACGGCAAGAAGCACAGCCACGGCCACTCGCATCATAACGACAACATGGAGGGTATTTTTCTGCATGTTCTGGCCGATACGATGGGAAGCGCCTCGGTGGTGCTGTCGACAATCTTGACGTACTACACGGGCTGGACGTTCTGGGACCCCTTGGCCTCGTGCGCTATTGCGATCCTCATCTTCCTCGCAGCGATTCCGCTCGTCAAGTCGTCCGCGCGCAACCTTCTCCTCAACATCCCCGACGACACTGAGTACAATCTGCGCAACACGCTCGCGGGCATCTTGCAGCAAAAGGGCGTCGTCAACTACTCGGTGCCCAAGTTCTGGATGGACAACCGGAGCAGCGAGGACTCTGGAGACAAGCTGCAAGGCATCGTGCACGTAGTGGCGGGTAGAGGTGCGAGCTTGGATGAAGTGCGGGATCGCGTGCGCGAGCACCTCCTCAAAAACTCGATGGACATTGTAGTGCAGGTCGAAAGAGAAGGCGACGCCAGCTGCTGGTGCGGCGTGGGGCGGACGACGGGGTTGGCCACGACGCCCCTGAAGAGGGCATTTTAGAGAAGAGCATCACTGATTACACCCTTACCGACGATTACTGAGATATCAGCACACGAAAACGAGCGAACGGAGCGGGAGTGAGAGAAGTGTCTGCTTTTTTCCCCCGTGTTTCTTCTTCATTGAATAGACAGCGAGACAAAGAGCGAAGACGAACCGCATAGAGGCTTGGTGATAGAGGAACCCCCGATTTGGAGCCGGGTTTTCAACGAGGTCGGGCTGTTTCTTCTTCTTTTCTCCAGGAGTCTCGGCACGTTTAAACAACAGGAAATCACATGATGGAAGGCATTGTGACGGCCATTCAAAGACTTGTGTATGAGTAGACACGCACCAAACATGGTTTGCGCGAGGGCGGCAATGAAAAAAACTAGATACCCTTGAGGCTGAAAGCTGACGTTGCACCTGACTGACGAATATTGTGAGAGCTCGAGCTCCGCCAACCCGAGATGGCTTGCGAGAGAGAAATACTTCTTAGTTTATGACATGTCGCAATGATAGGAGTCCTCCGTCCGCCCGTGTGGGTGGGGTTGTAATTGTCACTTGATGTGCAGACGCAGGGCGGGGTTTAAACAGTGCACTATTAGAGTGGCTGACGGTTTAAAAGGGGGATTTAACAAGAGTGTGTCGGACTTGGCGCTTGAATAGAGAGACTTGCGACTGCGGCCTGTGGCATTTCGCAGTCGATGTCGAGGAGGATGGCCAGTCTGGCGAGGCGGGTTTGTGGCTGCTTTGAGAGGGGGCCAGGCAGTGTTGCCAATTGAGCGGTCAGCTGCAAGAAACAGAGAGAGAGAGACAAAGAGACAGAGGTTAATTGTCGTTTCCCCGCAGGCTTGAAATGGACTTGATTTACTCGGATGCGACGGGGGTTTTTGCGACTGTGTCTGTACCCCTTCCTAGGAATTTTGTGAGTTGGTCTCAACCCAAGGTTCAGGAACGCGGTTTCTCTGACGCAGAGATGGCTACATTGGTTTGTTTTTGCCCATAGCGGATAAGGATGGCATGTCACATGAAAAATCATATTCTGTGTTTGTTGCGTGTGGAATTGACTTTTCGTCCCATTCCCGCAAATATTTTACTATTTGCATCATTATCGGACATAATTCCTTACACTCTGAATAGCACACGATAGAATCGTCACCTTAATCCCTAATGGATCCGGGGAAAAGCTACTGGCACCCATTGGCCATTGGGCTGACCTCTTCTGCATGCGCACCGGGGCTTACACGCTTTTGCGCTGCAGACGGCACGGATTAGGTAAAGACAGTATCCGTACGTACAGCTGTACAACACCCAACCCCGCTAAAGCAAGGCCCCGATTTAGGCCCAGGTTTCCCCTCCTTTCCCTTTTCCCTTTTCCCCTTCCCCCAGACCAGACCAAACCAGACCACCGCGCGGACCGGAGCAGGCCTTGGTAGAAAAAAAGGTACCGCAAAGTTGGGGGAAGGGGGTGCACCACAATGAGCCGAACGACCGAGGCACCACTGCGTCCGCCCGCGCACAGCAGCCAAGTGCTGACCCAAAGCCCGCGATTTCCATCCCACGCGCTGGGATGAGCTTTCGAGTCAATGAGGAGGAGGAAGAATAGATGAAAAAGTCTGTCCTTTTTTCCGAGGGCAACGGCCACTTTTCACGTCCCTCATTCTGGTTCCAGATTATTTTCTGTCCATTACACTTACTCATTCAAAAATCAAGCATCGTCAAGGAATCCATCACGAGCCAAAAGCTCAGGGCAAGCCAAACCTGGGGGGGATTTCTATCCTCGAGTGGATACATAAATTCCCCATACTCCGGCTACAAGTGGAGACACAATAACCACAGCATCTGCCTACCCACCCCCAATTGGAGCGTTGCCGAGGCTCAAAGACGTGACGTACCGCAACCGCAACGAGCTGTGTATCTTTACGTCTCGATCCGACCGCACCACCGCCTCCAACGGACGACCGAACAAAAATCGCACTTGTTGCTAGGCTTCCCGCACTCTCTCGAATAGTTACAAAATTAGCCAACCACGCCCCTGATTCCGCACCAGGAACGGACCGCACGGTGAACAGTCTGGATCGCATAGAGCTTGCGCCCAGGGCAGCTACGGACATCAGCAACGAACTACCTAGAGAAACACCCAGAGCATTGGCAGCACGTGAAAGCTCTCTTTCTCCCAACCCCCAAAGAGCTTCCCTCCCCACGACAGACTTCTCTCACGACAACCTCTTTTTCTCGCCATTCTCCCTCCCGCGCATCTCGAAGAAATCTCCCTCTTCTTCGCCCTCCCCTCCCCTCCTCTTCACCCCTCTCCCTAATCAAACCTAACCTTACCTCGTCGTGTCGCCAACCATCCCCTCTCCC